TCCCCAGCCACCCGGGAGCGGGAGCTCCCCTTCTCGGGAAGCTCGGCTCTCCCTTCCCGCAGCCCTCCCGGGATCCCCCGCTTCCCCCCGGGTACCCCCATCCCCTCCCGGGAGATGCCCTTCCCCAGCGCCGGGAGAAGTCGGACTTTGTACTCACCCCCTGCCTGCTGCTGTAGCTCTGAGTCTGGAGACCGGCTCTGATTCCGGCTCCATCACGTTTAGTGCATTGTCTCTTTCGGGCAATTTTTGCGGCAATCCATCAGAAAAAAAGGGACAGGCCGGTTTGTGGGTACATCCTTCCCAGGAGCTCAGCTCTCTGCCTCTCTAAGGGGCTCAGCTGTGTCAAAGACACCCCCTGGCCCGGACGGCTCACTCCTTCCTCCTTCTCTTCTGGGTCCTTTTGCTTACACAGATCTTTTAATCCCATTTAACTCCCTCTCGGCAGACTGCAATTACCTTGGGAAAAAGGAGAGAGAACAGAAAGTACACGCTAGGAAGCCAGGCTGGCCCATGGTCGCTGGATTTCTTGTCTCTCTTTTTTTTTTTTTTCTCCCCTCCTTATTAATAGTACAATTTCTGTGATCTCTGATTTCCAAAGTCCTTGATTTAAAGTGAGTTTTTTTTCTTAGCTGTTACTTTTGTTGTTGTTGTTTGGTTGGTGGTTGTAATTATTATTTTTATTTGCAGTGCAGATGTGCCTCCCACCCCCCCAAGGATCTCTCCTCTGGACTTAGAGAGAAGAGGAAAAGGCAGATTTTGAGAAATGAAAATTATTTAAGGATGTCCCTGCCGCCTCTCTCTGCTGCCCTCCTCTGTAATACTGAAGCACTTACAAAAAAATAATACAAAATAAATAAATAAAGGAACTCTTTTGGCCAGAAGAGCTGCCGAGAAGCAATCAAAGACCCCTTCCAGGCTCTGCAGAGGAAACACACAGCCCCCCCAGTCTGGGGGAGGCCGCTGATGGAAATCACTGCTCCTCTGCACTCACCTGCCGGGGGGGGGCCAGGAGCCCACTTGCCCAAACTGGCTTCGACCCACCTCACCACGAGCTGGCAAAGGACTCATGTTCTAAGGTACCTGGTTCTGCTTTTCCTTGGTGGAGGTGGTTGGGAGCCCATGGGGGGGTGGAACTCAGGGGAGAAAAGTCCCCTCCTCTCCCTGCCCTGCTTCCACGGGGAGGGGGGGACAGGGGATTGGGTGCAGGACATCTCCAGACCCCCCCCTCTTCTCCCACCACCTACTGATGGAAGCTGGACCCCAGGAAGGGGGAGGGGGGGGGAGAGGAGAATTAATTTTCTTATGCAAGGTCCATCAGAGTAAATCAGATCCCAAATCCACTTCGCCAGCTCTGCCAGGAGAGGGGATTTTCCGTGTGGATAAGACCTGCATCCCTCTGCCCCCTCCTCTTCCAGCTCTCACAAAGTCCCACCAAGCCAAGACCCTGCCACCCTGCACCCCATCAGGGTGATGAGCAGATCCCTCTTGTCCACAGCTCTATGGGGTGGACAGGACACAGCTCTATGGGGTCCCCTCAGGCAGGAGAGGGCAGCCCACCCCACCGAGCCCTCCCACCTCCTCCCTGCACCCCTGGGTGCCCCCTGGGCCCTGCTCCCTCCCCCTTTGCACAGCAGCTCTGCCTTGGGCACTTACTTTGCAGCGAGGTGAGAGGCTGTGCACCGTCTCCTCGCAGCCCCGCCGTCATTGGCATTCATTTGTCCCAGCAGCTTACGGCAATTTCTAGTTCTTATAAAATAATAAGAGTAAAAAAAAAAATAATAAAAAAAAAAGCAAAAGGAGCAAGAAATAAAAAAAAAAAAAAAAAAAAAAAAAAAAAAAAAGCAAAAGGAGCAAGAAATAAAAAAAAAAAAAATAATAATCCCCCAACTCCCTTCCTCACTCCTTCCCCTTCGGTCTCAAGGTGTCTCCTGTGCTGGGAGCCCCGGAGAACGCCTGGGGTTCCCCCAAAATCAACAGATAATCCTCGCCCAGGGCTGGTGTGGGCAGGTCCCCTGGTGGGGCATGGATGCTGCAGGGATCCAGGAGAGAAGAGAGGTTGGGACCGGGCGCTGGGAGGGACATGGATGTGAAAGAGGTGGAAATTATAAGGCTGCCCTTGTCCTTTTAAATAGCTGCAGCCAGGGGACTCCGCCGGCTGGCTGGGGTGCCCCAGGTATCCGGTTTCAGCAAACAGCAGCTAATGAGCAGAGATCCAGCCTCCGAGGGGCAGGTTCAGGGCTGTTCTGCAGGCATGGGCAAGCAGGGGGGCACCCCGGGCACCCCAAAGGCCAGGGATGGAGCAGGGATGAAGCTGCGGGAGGGATGGAAGGGCTGCAAGGGAAGAGGGACACAGTCACTGCTGCCCCAGGGAGGAGGAGGACAGGGTGCAGATCCTGGGGTCCCGAGGTCCAGAGGGGAAAGGACAAGTCCTGAGAGGTGCTGAGCATCCAGCACGGGGCTGGGCATCAAAGCTGAGCCACCCCAGGGTCTCGCTGCACAAAGGTAGGGGCCTCCTTGTCCCCCGAGACAGGGTGACGGACCAGGCAGAGCACCAAAGCACCTCAAACCAAAAAGCCAGAGGGGAATGATGTTACACTCGGAGCAGAAAATTCAAGGACCCACTGACCTGACTCAGCAATGCAGGTTTTACTCAAAAATCTGACCTCAGAACGTGGCCAAAAATTAAGGTTTCCACCATAAATCAGATTTCCCGTACACACGATGTCTTCTGTTACCATGCATGCTCAGGACTTCTCTCCTTTAATACATATATTTGACCTGTGGTTGTGGTTTTACATCTCCCAATTTCTATAGGCATAAGATTTTGTTCATACCTTTGCTCTGAAGCATCTGCATTTTGCTTCCTTGCTTGCTGCAACAGATGAAGCTTTCGGAAGCAACAACAAAACATTTGAAACAAGCAGTGTTATGTCTGGGGTAGATAACCAACAGCCTCACAGTCCCCTATCCTCAAGAAAAGCTTTTCAGAAGAGCACAGCTAAGTTACACAGCCAGATACTCCTAAGAAACTCCTATGCCCAGACAAACCTGTCCCAAGACCCTCTGGAGGCCCAGGAGCTCAGACGACCCACCCACACTTCAGGGACAAAAGGCAGTCACATAATGACACCAAATGTGTCAGAAATCACATAAAATCTTGATTTTTCTTAGCTATTTTTCCCCAGCTGTTTTTCCTGTGTTTCTCAGTCACGCATTCCCCACTGAGAAATGTATTTTAGCCAAGCCTAAGTTTTTAAGATAAAGCTTTAGTCTATTTCAAAATAAAAATACTTTGCAAAGAAGCGTGACAAAATTCCTAATACTGTTGAATTCACCTTGTATCCTCCTGCCCTTTTCTACCTTTTCTCTCTTTCAACAGCAGCAAGTATTTAGTAACCTTCCCTTCCTACAAAAAAAAAAAAACAAAAAACAAACACATTTGCTCTGCCCAGAAAAGAACAAGGCGCTGGATTCCTACAGCCAAGGACAGAGAAGAAAGGAAAAAGATGTGCTGCATCTTTTTGGGAAGAGGTAAGCAACCAGGATGTGTCTGGGTAGCTGGTAGGGACTGGCAATGCTTCAGGTTCACTGCGTGGCACCAAGGACCACCATAAAACACACTTCGAGCCCCGTCCTCAAACATCCTGCACATCCTTAACTTTGCTCAGATGAACACTTTCAAACCAAACATATGTAGAAAAGCTTTCCTAGCGTGGGGACGTAAATGGAGCTCAGCAGTAGGAAAAAGGGAATTAAGTTTAAAACAAAAGGAAACCCAACATTGCTGAGGCCAAGAGTAGTGCCAAGTGAATTCAGGTTCAAAAATTAGACCTCATTCTTCAAAAAAGAGAAAAGCCACAACATATGATCTGAATAGAAATATATTTAGCAGATTTATTTTTCTTCCCTTCCAAATTTAAATAGAAGCCATTTTAAAACACTAAATAAACTGAAGTAAATCAGCACAGCGGTGAAATAAAAAAAAAAAAAAAGGAATTGGAATTGACTGTTCTAGTTTAATTAGCCAAAATAAGAAAAGTACAGGGGAGGAGGAAATGCCACCACACACCACACAACATTGGGAACAGGGAACAGAACACTTGCTTTTGACAAAATGCACCTCTCCAAAAAAGCAGTGTGTCATTACTGCCTAAATAAATACAGCATTTAAAATACTCATCCGCATTTAGCCGGTTTCCAGAAGAATCAGTACCCACCTCTCCTCAGGATCCCTACCTTGGGTAAGCATCAAGGCTCTTATTAATATAATTTTGTCTCTTTAACCCCCTTGGAAAACCAAGCGTGAAGGCATCTAGGAGCCATGGCGAGGGGGCGTTACAGCTGTGGACATGACTCACAGTGCCCGGCTTCAAGGAGCAGAGGAATCCCAGACACTAACCCCAGTTTGCCCTCCCAGTTTGGCTTGGCCTAAAGGCCACCACTGAATTACAGTTCAATCCTTTTTTACCTTTGCACAAGTCGGAAAAGTAGCCTGAATCACTCGCTGCCCCCAGAACTCACAAGGAATTATAGGGATATATTTAGATAAATACCCTATTCAGGTTTTAAAACCGTGGCATGACCAGGCAGAAGGCACAGGCAGCACGAAACCCCAGGCACCGGAAAAAAACCTATGGGAGGGATCAAACATGTGAAGAAGAGGTGGGATAAAGAGCCTTTCTCTCCCCTCCGGGCTGAGGATCTGCACCCAGCCTGGATCAGGAGTATCTAAACTTGGTACCTGGCTAAGAGTTGCTGGAGCCACAGGGAAAATTGAACCCACCCTGTGGGACGTGTCGCTGCCACGAAGGGATGATGATCCACTGGAACCATTTCTGTCCCTTCTTGCTCCCTTCCAGGGCAGCCCAGCCCCTCTGCCCTCGTGTTCTCCATGCTTTGATGGGATGCTCGTTCCCTGCACAGGATTCCCTAATCCCTACACAACTTTTCTGTTTGGATCCTGTATTTAACATGACCGGACCGGCACTTCTCACACTCATGAGCTCTGTTTAAATGACTGGCACTAGTTCAAGCCCTGGTCTAAAGTCCTCCCTACCTTGTAGGGTCCTGGTCATGAGCAGAAACCTGCTGAGGAGCTTCATTTGGCTGCTGAGATGTCTCTCCACCCATGGCAGAGCCAAGGTCTCCATGAAGGCAGAAGCTGGGCTCTAGTTAACTGATGCTCCTACTCATTTTCTCTTTCTGGCTTCAGCCATCACAGCAGAGGAGCAGAACATGCAGCACTTCTGATTTTAGGGACCACAGTTTGACAGCTATTTTGTGATGCAAAAGCTGCTGTAGGTTATCTTTCTTGTTCCCAGTGCGCTACGGAGGGGATTAATGATACAGGAGATGGACAGAAAGCTCAAAAATAACGTGTGTAACCAAGCTACTGCCCAGTGCTATTTTCTCCCCCTCTAGTGTAGCCTTTCTGACAAACCCTATCCCTTCCTGTGCCACAGGCCAGCGGTGACATGTTTGAACTTCTGCAGCCGTTTGATGTAAAATGTTTTAAATTCTTTTCGGGAACACTAAAGGCTTTTGTCTCTTGACCGGTGCGGTGGGGATGCCACGTCTGGCAAAGACTGATCTCTGTCTGCTTTCCAGCTCTACCCTATCACACCGGGCTGCCCAGCCAGCCGAGAGGTAGGAATGGCTGTTAATCATTAAATGGAGCCTTTTTTCCACCGGAATGAAAGGAAACACAATGCAGCGATGCAAGTCCGAGCCCACCCTTCCCAAGGAAACGCTGCCCACTGATTAAAACCCTGTCATGCACTTCTATTTAGATATTTAGAGAACTACAGTTTTACAGGATGGCTGTAAAGTGAATTGTTCAGCTGCAGCTAAAAGCAGGCAGCGATGAACTGCCAGGTAAGCCATGGGGGGGTAACGCATCAGCATGCTTCGACGGAAAGAAATTACAGCCCCTAAATCCTGACTGTCTTTATTTAAGATATCAGGCTTAAATAAAGGCTGATAAAGGCTGCCTGGTTTCGCTAACATCCCTTTATTTTCCCTGTCTGTCCATCTGTTCCTAAGCTGCATTCAATCTATCCCTGCTTTCGGTGCTATTGGTGGAAAATAGAAGAGTTTCAGCAATACTTGGCAGCTTGGAGCCACATCCTTCACTCTAAACAGCAGCCCAGGCTGTTCTGCCATCTCTGGCACAGCGTGGGGCTCCTGTGCTACCTTCTGAGCTGCTCAGCAGAAAACCAAGGCCAGTTTCCCCGTTTTACCAGGGTGGGAAAAACATTCCCCATTAAAATCCCCACGGGGCTGCTGCCGTCTCCCCGCCTGGAGGTTTGCTGGTTAAACGTGCCAGCAGCAGAAGTGCTTTTCCCCCTGGTGTGCCAAGGACCCCGCGGGGTTGTGGAGGTGGATGTGTGCTATCCTGGGTGAGGGCAGGAAACGTGATCTTTCTCTAAAGAAACAGCACATCTTTTCTTCATGAAACAGAACCACCCTGAGAGCGCCTGCTCCCGCGGCAAAGATGGAGGTTACACCAGCAACACGTAAAAGTGCCTGATGATCTAAATTTCCTGCACATTAAGGACAACTGCCACTGTGGTTGTTTAAACAAAACAGTAAGACAGACGGGAATGAAGCCTGGGTGAGATTCTGAGCAGTTTCAACGGGGAGGGAAAAGGAAGAGCAGGTCAGAAAACATCAAAACAACTTTTTATGACAAACCTTTAAGGTAATACTATCTAAAACAAAAAGAAAAAAAATATTTTTTTTTTTAACAAGTAAACCAAGATGTATTTATTGTTTCTGATTTTTACTTTGAAAGTAGAAAGTTATCAGTTCCAGCTGCTGTAGGAAAGAGAACCCCTGTGTACTGGTGTCGGGCAGGCCTGGGGGAGCAGTTTACTGGTAAAAGGGAAATCTTACCGGCCTTGTGGCTGGAAGACATTGAAGTGGAAATGGTAAGTCCAGGGTAAAACTGAAGGAAGGGTAAGACTAGACAGAGTTGAGATGAGCATCTCCTGGGCTCCACCCTGCACTGGGCTCACTAATGACACCAAAAAAGCTTCTTTAGCAGAGACAAGGATGAGACCCCTTGCATATACATACAGGTGTACATTTAGCAAAAGCTTGTACTGCTCTGTGTTCGACACCAAAACAACTGCAATGTGATTAGTGCAGCCTGAGAGTAACTTTAAGATACAAACCAGTGATAACAGAGAATTGCTTAACGTAATCTAAGCCACAACGTGCTATGACATAGTTTCCTTTAACAATCGTATTCAGCTATTTCTGCCACCAGTTGCCCATCCTTGTTCCGATGAAAAGGGATGTGGCTGGCTGGGGAGAAAGAGGTGCCACCTCATTTCTTCCCAGCTGTTTGGGGCTGGACATCTCAGACAGACCCCCCTGGCTTTTCTCTGCCTGGAGGCAGCAGTGCCCAAAGCTTCACACACTAACCTAGATCTCAGCAGAGCTCGGTTTTGGTTTTCACTACGCCAGTGACCTTCAGGGTGACCTGAAGCAACTTAAACCATTGCTTTTGTACCATTATTTTCTTGTCTCTAGAGCGAAGCTTGTGATATAGATCATCTTCACACATAAGATGTTTAAGACCTTCAGACACAGAGCACTGCCAGTGAACTGTTATTACTTTACTATGCTGTTGGCAGCAGCTTCTCCTGCAGGAGAAAGTGTAAATCTATTTCCCAACCAGCTTTTATATTCCCCACAACCTGCCATCGTCCAGATGCACAGTTCATTACAGATCGTTCAGTTTTATCTGGCTGTAAAGTCCCGTGTTAAAAAAAAACAAAAAAAACCAAAAAAACCCCTTCACTGATTAAACATGCAATTCAAATACATTTTCTGGAGTGCAGTAGACAATTCCTAGCACTTTATCTGCCCTGGCTGAAACGCAATCTGTGCCACTCCGAGCAGAACAATGCTCGATTTCTTCATACTTCGCTTGAATTGTTAACACATAAAGCAGAAACACAGCCCATTTTCACGGAGAAGTTCTCTTCTGACATACTCAGTATGTTAACCGAGAGTATACAAATCTGCTTCAAAGCTAATAGGCTCTTTTTTTTTTTTTTCCTTCCAGCAAACACACTTCTTCACATCTGCACACTCTCTCTCTCTCTCTCCACTTCAATAGCAATAGTATTTGGTAAAGCTCTCCAAACTGGAGCCACTGCAGAAAGACTGTATTTACTGATGTTTGGGTAAGAACTAATAAGAGACCTGGTTGTGTCTCTGTTCCTCCAACTCCAAAAAAAAAAAGGTCAATATTTATACACCCGCTGGTGAAATAAATCCCCTCCTCCCCAGAGAAGAGGGGAATAAAATGAAGTGATTGAAATGGGGGTTTCATGGAAGGAGACTTTATTTGTTTGCTTATTTGTTTTCAAAGCTTGGGATGTGTTTGGGTTTTGTTTGTTTTTAATTTTATTGTAATTTAAATGCAATTGTACTGTACAGAGTGCATCAAAGCAGCTTCACAGTGGGGCCTTTCATTAAGGACCAAAAGCTCAGGAGCCCTTGCACGCTGTTAGACTCACCACAGGATCTGGTGGACACAAGGCTCAGGTATGTCAGGGGCTGGAGCATCTCCATTCCCACTGAAAACCCTTTTGGGATGCACTTGGCTCAGCCCTGATGGGGCCAAACTTGCTGAGTGAGAAGTGGTTGAGGTTCCAGCAAGTCAGACACAGTATAAACAATTAAATCAGCATTGTTCTAGCTCTCCCAGCATGGAGATCCCGTCCAAAGCCTGTCAAGGCCAACAGAAAGACTAATATTGAATTCTCAGGCCTCCAGAACATGCTCTGGTTTCTTGCTTGTATAGACCCATGGCTAACTCCAGCCCTTCTGGTGCACAGTTCCTTTGGAAAGGAAAGAGCTATCAGCAAGAGATTTCCTCTTTGACTCTGTCACAAACTGCTTTGCTGGTCTCCCCCTCTGCCTGCATTAAGTTTCTTGGATTTGTCTGTTCCGTGTGATTCTTAAAGCCCTTTACTAAAGCAATAATCAGAGCATCAGAGACTTTGATCCCATCAACATGTCTCTTTAATCATAGAACTGTCCGGGTTGGAAGGGACCTTTAAGATCATCTAGTCCAAGCACTAACCTAACTCTGATAAAAACCCATCACTAAACCATGTCTCTAAGCACTATGTTAAGCCCATCTTTTAAATACCTCCAGGGATGGTGCCTCAACCACCTCCCTGGGCAGCCCATTCCGAAGCTTAATAACCCTTTCAGTGCAAAACTTTTTCCTAATATCCAATCTGAACCTCCTCTGGTGCAACTGGAGGCCATTTCCTTGTGTCCCATCACCTGTGACTTGGGAGAAGGGACCGACCCCCCCTGGCTACACCCTCCTTTCAGGGAGTTGTAGAGAGTGAGAAGGTCTCCCCTCAGCCTCCTTTTCTCCAGGCTGAACACCCCCAGCTCCCTCAGCCTCCCCTCATAAGACTTGTTCTCCAGACCCTGGAGAGAAAGGTAGTTTCTCTCTGCCAAAGGCAAATCCCCCTGAACCACACACCTGGACTGAATCCCACACAGCTCTGCAGTGCTTGGATTTCCAGTGTGAGCTACCCCATGGCAGCCAACCAGAGTGTTGTGTGCAGCACGACTGACATTTCCACACCCTTAATCAGGAAAGTCTTTATTTTCGTGAGGATTTTCCTATCAAAAGTATCTATTGTTCGATCCTACATAGTGAAGTCACTATTCCTATTATCATTGTTTTTTTTTAAAAAAAAAAAGAATTCTGAATCCTTTTGCACAAGATACCTGGAGTTTTTACAGAAGAGGGAGTCACTGGGATGCATTTCACTAAGGTGCCAGAAAAACTCTTTCCTGGAGTAGCTACTCCATAGCAGGCAGTGTATCAGCCTTCCTGACATGGTTTAGGAGGATTTAAACTGCCAAACTTGTCCTTGATATAAACTGACAGAGCATCACTGACTGCAGCTGGGCATCCCCCATTCACCATGTGAACAGCTGGGAGCAGATTTGTATATACTTGCAAACAGAAATAAATACATAAATACCGCCAGCACTCAAGAAAACCTCTACATGCTTTCGGGGGAAAAGAAAAAAAAATAGAAAAAAGAGTGAATGTTAGTGAAGTTGGTAAAAATCCTGCCTTTCCGCTGCTCACAGTTACAGCAATAGACCTGCACTGAATTTCTATGTTTTCAGCTGAAATTTGTATTTGTGGAATAGCACCGAGAATTTGGCCCGTGTATCTTTCAGAGAAGTAGCCAAGGGGTCAAGTCCTCATTTGCACCATCCAGTGGCATCCCTATAGAGGAACCATTGTACAGACCAAATCAAGACATTTTAAAACCTGCATCCCATTTGCCATTCCCCCGAAGTCCTTGGGATTGAAGAGGAGCCTTGTCACTGATGAGGGTGAGTTCAGGGTCAAGTTCTACACTCCAAACACCAAGTAAGAACCACTGTTTACGCTCCAATTTCTTAGAAAACAGTCAAAACCCTCTTCATATGGAACATCTCATTCGTGTGTCATCAACTTTTCCACCCGCAAACTTGCCATGCTTCAACATTTGCTTCATAAAATAAATGAAATTTATACTTTATCAGTGTCCTCTCGCTTCATAGCCAGCCTGAACACCTGCCTTTCTTCTGCTACTTTGTTTGTCTTTGGCTTCTCTTCATTATGAGCTAACATTAAACTATTTCTTGTTTAGATTTAAAAGGGCAATTTTTAATCTCATTCTGTTGCTCAGTGTATCTTGAGATGCTCTTCTCCAGAAGGCTCTGACTGTGCCTTTTTTCCCATCAAACCCCACATTTAGCACGCAAAGCAGACCAAAACTCACTGCAAGACTTGCATTAATCAGCAGAATGCAATAAATGAGACTATTTAATATTTTACCTCTTCAAAGCTTTGAGTAAGCAACAATACTTTGTTAATATTCTTACCAGTGGATACGCCCCAGGCAGGGAGCAGGTATTTTCTCTATAACAGAGACACTGTGCACCTGACAACCCCACCGTCAAACAACTAAGGCAGCCTCGGTCGTTAATTGATGTGGGTAACGTGGCTTTCACCTTTGCCTTCCCCAAAATAACACACAGAGAACACCCAAACCAGCCATCCCCATCAAACGCATGGTGAATAGGTTGTTAGTACAAAAAAAACCACTTTGATGCCCCTAACGTGCCTTTCATCATAGAATCCTAAAAGAACTTTGCAATTATTAATGTGGCCCCTAATTCACCACCCACCCACACAGTTTTCCCTAATTTACCAGCTGGATATACAGAAAGCCCCAGATACAGAAAGGTGCAATTCTGGAAGAGGTGCCTGAACACTCACACATCCCCCAGCAGTCTCTGGGAGCTGTACTTATCACCCCAACTTTGGGAAATAAAACCAGAACTTCAGTAACTTGTCCCATCCCCATGACAGCGAGTAACAAAGCAAGGAGGAGAACCCAGGGATCCAACCCCACCATGCCACGAGTCCATGGAGCCTCCCCTCGACACCACGGCACTGGGTAGGTATTGCAAAATACGTGGTCAGCAAAAGGAAAAAAAATAAAGTTTCTCTGTACTCTTCATTCTGAGCAGTTTTCTTTTTTCCTAACATGCCATTATTAAACAACAGGAACAGACTAGTTTCTGGGTAAACTACTTTCCCCAAAGTAGTTGGAAGATAGCAAGAAATGCCAAGCTTTCTATTTTCCCCCTCCTTTAAAGGAGAAGTAACATTGAATTAAAATATTTGTAAACAGCACTGATCAGCATTTTATTTTAT